AAGAAAGAGGCAATTCGGCTTTAGCTAGTGCCTCATGAGCACGTTGTGCATCGTATGCAAAATTTTGTAACCCCTATAATGTGAGTGATAGTGTGTGTTGGCGGGAGTCCACACTCCCATCTTGGTGCAACGGTAGACATACTTTCTAATGTATATCCAGATGACCAGTACCCCCACCCTTTTTTTTAGAAAAGTACTTTTTACAATATTTACATACCGCACGAATTTCCATCTCACCTATTTTTGGATTTGGTCGGGGATCCTCGGTCAAATGCTACCATGCTGGAGAAGTTCGCGGTCTTTTTCCTCTGCTGCGTTCTCCAGCTTCCTCATTGTGTACTAAAGCATTATCAACCTGAGCATTTTCTGGTTCAGTGGGGGTGGGGTTGGGAGGCATCATTTCATCCTCATAAAATGGCTCATCACCAAGCTCAGGAAGAGCAGTGAAATCAGGAAAATTTGGAGCAGCCATTTCTGAAAATTGATAGAACTTGATTGAACTTTATAAATAAAAGAGCTAGAAAATGAATGAACGCGAGAGAAAAGCTTAGAATCAAAATCAAAGAGACAAGTTGAGAGATAGAATGAGAGTGAGATGAGAAGTTGAGAGTGAATTGTTGTGTGAGATTTATGGTGGAATTAAGGGGTATTTATAGGGGATTTGGGGGGTAAATTTCTAGATTTTTGGGTTTTTAGCCGTTGGGCCCTTCGCGGGCCAAACGGGAGGCACGTGACGAGCCTCCCGTTTGGCCCGTCACGTGCCAAACGGGAGGCACGTGACGGGCCAAATGGGAGGCCCGTCATGTGCCTCCCGTTTGGGCTCGCGAAGGGCCCCTGGACCAAATGAAATGGGTCGTTTCGCGGGCTTAGGCCGGGCCGAACAAAGGCCGTGCCGCGGACCTCCACGTGCTTGGGCCGCGGGCTGAGAAGTTGAGGCCCAGCCCTAGCCCATTACACGTGCCGTGCCGGCACAGCCCATAACAGTAGCGAACCGGGCCGTGCCGAATATGACACTATCACGGGCTGGGCCGGGCCGTCCATGGACGGCCCGGCTGTAATCCCTCACTGCCCACTGCAGGGCGATTTAGGGGTTTGCAATTAATGCCCGTATTGCAGACGTCTCCCACCCCTAGACGCAACTTGTGATGTCAGGCTTCTTTCTGAAGAGCGTTCCCCTCAGCGCTGTGCTGCGCAGACCTTATGTCCTTTCTGATGACCCTTTCCGAAGGTTGTTGCATAAGTTCAACGGCACAATTGGTCGATGCCCTAATTTGGGCCTTTCTTTGCAGCATCGAGGGGAAGTGAACTCCAAGCGTCAAGGGTAGTCGAACTCCAAGCGTCGAGGGTAGTTGAACTCCAGGCGTCGAGGGTTGCCACCTCTTGAGGGAAAATAGGGCCACGTGTCACGCTGTCGCCGTTCTACATGTCACCCACATTTTCCCACACAACAAGACCTAAAAAAAAACTAACATTTTGAAATTTAATTAGTTTTGTTTGTTAAAAAATTTTAAAAAATAATAAAATGGTTCACGATAACGCATATGATGCCTGTATTGCAGACGTCTCCCACCCCTAGACGCAACTTGTGATGTCAAGCTTCTTTCTGAAGAGCGTTTTCCTCGGCGCTGTACCGCGCAGACCTTATGTCCTTTCTGATGACCCTTTCCGAAGGTTGTTGCATAAGTTCGACAGCACAATTGGTCGACGCCCTAATTTGGGCCTTTCTTTGCAGCGTCGAGGGGAAGTGAACTCCAAGCGTCGAGGGTAGTCGAACTCCAAGCGTCGAGGGTAGTCGAACTCCAGGCGTCGAGGGTTGCCACCTCTTGAGGGAAAATAGGACCACGTGTCACGCTGTCGCCGTTCTACATGTCACCCACATTTTCCCACACAACAAGACCCAAAAAAAAACTAACATTTTGAAATTTAATTAGTTTTGTTTGTTAAAAAATTTTAAAAAATAATAAAATGGTTCACGATAACGCATATGATTAGGGACGCACCAAGAATTAGAAATTTTTTTTTTAATCTTTAACATATTGCAAGTTTGTATTTCATCCTTAAAAACCTAAATACTCCTTAAAATATGTGGGTCTAAATTTTTACTCCTTTTACTTTTGATTAATATTTTGTTTAGTCAAATAATTATATTAGTCAAAAAGTTAATATCCAGACTAAAAGATAAAAATTCAAATCAATACACTTTAAGGATAAATTTGGTAATTTTCTCGAATATTACCCTTACCAAATAATAATAAAAATGTATTCCTATCTCCTAAGGGAGAATAGGTGTTTTTCGAGTGCGTTTCTTTACTTTTTTTTGGGACTCTCAACCTTCACAACGGTAGCTTGGGTCTCGTGGGTGGTTCTTACAATTGATGGGTGCAATATGGTGGCTGTCGTGGTGGATAGATATGGGAGGCGTGATGGGTGGGGTGCTCGTTGCCAGAGATGGAAGTTTTGGAGTTTCCGATGATGCGAGATACGTGATGATTCCGGTAGGCATGTGGCATGGGGTCTCGATCCCGAGGTACAGTATTTGGTTTTATAGTAGGCAGTTATACTCTTTTTGTGGCGGCTCTTTTCAGTTTCGATTATTTACTCCATAGCACGATGACCGGCATGTTGCTGTTGAGTCCTCCCCGTTGTATTACTGGTGGATCTAATTAATATTCGTAGTCGAATTTCATTGTAGATGATGCTCACTTGTGATTAATTTGAGTATCTAATTTTATTTTAATGAAATGAAATTTTTCTCAAAAAAATTATCTTTCAGAAAAATATAATATACCATTCTTCATTACCAACAAAACAATAGATTTGGGGTTTGTTATAGCATTTTAGCTTATATTGAACGCACAATATGACATAAAATGCCTTTGTTGATGCCCTAAGAGATGCGAATATTAAACGCACAATATAACATAAAATGCCTTTGTTGATGCCCTAAGAGATGCGAAAATTAATTGAGATTGTGATTTTTTTGTTTTCTCTTGTGAAAAATAAATATAAAAAATAAAAATACAAACTTGCCACCGGCTCCCAAAGGTGGCAACTGTCAAGCACTGCCTCTACATTCCCAAAAGGCCAAATATGAGCTGGAAGGTCATTGCTTGCAATGGGAATCTGACGTGCGTCCATATCTATAACCTTAATCTTAATTGCTTTCCAAAATAATTAGAATCCCATGCCTTATGTAGACTGATTATGCAGTTCTACGCTCCAATGGAAAAAAGTTCCACCTGCCCAATCATGCCGTCATGTAATTTGATTATGCATAAATGGCAGAATGTGTTTCTAAAAAAAAAAAAGGTTATTTTGATAATTTTGAAATGGTGTTATTTTCATAGATTTGAGTAGAAAATTTAATCTGAAATTTATATTCTTGTGAGAGAAAATATTATCGTAGAAAGATTGAATTGTAATTTGAACTAATAAATTTTTTTTTCCTTTTATTTTTAGTTAAGTAGAATGGTAGTGAGACTTTTTCTCAGTTTCCCTGTGGTTTCCTTCGTCTGCATTTCAGTAATCTTTTATTTTCTTCTCCATTGAAAACCGGCCACGCAGTAGATTTAAGAGGGAGAAAATGAAAGAGATCCTGAAACTCAACACCAGGCACATGCTTGGTAGCGTTTTGAAGCCCAGCATATTAACAATTTGAGGGAATCAGCAGCTCAATTATTGGGAGCAAGCAGCACCTGTCAAACTTTTCATAGTAAGTGTGATTAGCTAATGTTATCAATATCAGGCTATTTGATTGTGTGACATGTTAGCAGTATAGCAGGTATTAGAAATAATAATTAAAAAATAAGAAAAAATTGACGGCAGGAAATGTAATTTTATCTCTCGGTATAAACTGTTGTTGCATGATATAGATTTTTAATGTGAAAGCTCACAGAATAAACCATTGATAAACTAATTCAACTACTAAAAAAAAAGCTTGAAATGCAAAGACAATTGGGTTACCATATATTAGCTGTAGTGTGTTAAACTTTTAGGCATGTCCTATTTTCTTCAAAAGTGGAAAAGTGGAAAGTAGTCTTTAATAATCCATTTGCGTTAAACTACAATCTCAGAGGACATGAGTCTTGATGTGGGAGTCCATTTATCGATCCAAATAGCGTAGTCTCCTCCACAGACAAAGGAAAAGAGAAGGAAAAAAGAGTTCAAACAATGAGGGCCAAAAACATGCTAAAGTTGATTGCTTAGGAGACAACAAGGCAGCAACTCAGATCGGCAATCATTTTGGCCTGCCTGAATTGGCGATGGAGGTTGAATTGTGGGCATCTAATAAAACTAGCTTAATTATTTTAAGCCAACAACTACTAGTGCAAATTGTCTGAAGTTGAACCCAAATAATAGGCTTTTACGCTGTGCAAATGTCTACAAAAGTAAATAGTTAGGAAACAAACGACTTCAAATCACTTTTTTTTTCTTTTTTTGGAAGAAGGCCAAAGCAAATCTTAGAATAAGCTAAGGTCCCGTTCATTTCGCCGATTTGAGTTTAGAATTCGAGTTTTACTACAGTAAAAAGCTCTCAGAAACAGTCACATCTAACTTTTTTGCTACAGTAAAAAGCTCTCACACAAAATCACATCTTAACTCGAATTACAAACTCGAATCAGCGAAATGAACGGAAGTCACTTATCTGTCGTCATTCATTCTGATTCAGAACCTAAGAAATTGACATTCACAGAGGAACAATTTAAGGGGGAAAAAGAAAAACCTCTCATTATTCATAGAATTTAGCCTCTTTTTTTTTTTCTCTCTCTACTGAAGCCGGAGTTATTAGTATAAGACCGGAAAAATATATCCTCGACTGCAGAATCTTTGATGAGATTTTCCGGTCAATATATGTTACCGAACGATTACATACCAACAGATTCACAAAACATCATCAACGCATAGCGATTTTAGGAATTGTTTCATCAATTACCTAAAAGAGCTTTCATCACTTCTTGGCTTTAAAGTCTAAGCTACGCATGTCTATTTTCTCAGCTTACTTGAGCTTCAACAACACATTCAACTACGGAAAATCCAAAGTAAAACAAACTATATTTCTATGTACATTGATTAAAACCTGTCTTGCATAATCATTCTCCATTTAACCCACATTCGGGTAAACAAAAAGAAAAAGAAAAAAAATAAATAAAACAATCAACGAAATTTTCTTTTCGTCCTGTGTTTTTTTTTTCCCCCCCCCTAAAATCACCACATTTCATTCCCACTCTGATCATCCAACACCCAAGCTCTGCTGCTACGCCTCCGCACGTGCCGGCCGAAGACCGAGCTCGACACACTCCGGCTCCGGCTAAAAGAGCCGGATTCAGAATCGGACCTCGACGACGGCGAAGAAGACGAAGAATTCGAATTATTTGAATTCGAATTAGAACTAGAATTAGACCTAATCCTTCCCAAAAACGACATCATATTACGGAAAACTCTCCCAATTCCGCGGCTTTCCCGTCCACTGCTTCTTCTCGACACCCACGAAACCCTCCTCGGAGCCCCATTCGAGTGGACCCCACCGTCCATCTCCGTGTACACCACCGGCACTTCCCTCTCGCTGCCGGATCTTCTTCCCGAGAAGAATCTCCCGACGGCGAACCCACCGCCGGGCAGCCTCCAGATGGTCAACCCCACGGTCTCCTCGTCAGCGCCGCCGACCGCGTGCTCCGCACTCTCCGGAGCCTGTTCCGTCGGCAACTCGTGTCGGCATACCGGACACGAGTTCCGAAGCGACAGCCATGGGAGAATACAGTCCGAGTGGTAGATATGCTTGCACGGCATCTCTCGGGCCTCCGATCCGAGCTCGAAGGCCTCCTTGCAGACGGCGCAGTGCGATTCCAAGCTGACGTGGCTGTCGGCGATCTCGATCGTCGGCATCGACTCTATCGCCGACTTCGACGCCGGCGGGTTCTCGGGCCGCCCAAATCCGGCGACCTCAATCTGCGCCAGCTGCTCTAACAACCTGTCCATGCCCGATCCCAGCAAAAATTCTGACATGCTCGCCGGGAGGGGCCGCAGGCCGGCGCCGGAACCGTCGTCGTAGAACAACTCAAAGCTGTTGGTCCTCTCGCCGTCGGCTCCAGCGGATTCCTCTGCCGTGCCGCGGAGGACAATAACCGGGTTAAAAGCTGAGCGGCGGGTGGATCCCCGGCGGGTGCGGCGAGAAGTCAAAGGCGGTGTTTGACCAGAATCTCGACCGTAAGATTGCGGAGAAGAGAAGGGATGGCTGTGATTGAACGACGGGGTTGACTCCGATTCGATCTCTTCAAGGAATCCGGTGTCGCAGTGCGGGCAAGTGACGGTGTCCTGGACCCAGACACGGACGAACCTCGTGCACCTGTAGCACCAATACGACAACGTCCCGTTCGCCGACGACATCTGTCTCCGCCGTATCAGATCTGAACGGAAGAAATAGAGAGAGAGAAGAAGAGCGTGTGTAAGGGAGAGAGAATTTTAGAGAAATGAGGAGGAAGGTGAAGATTGGTTTGCTTTTTAAGGCACGCGCGGACTTACATCTTGGACAGGGGTTTCACAAGAAGCGCGTAATCACACTTGTTATTATTACGTGGCAGTTCATAATTGGTTTCCCATACAACCGGACCCACTTGTCCTAGTGGGCTAGAGTAAAAAAAGATAAAAATGACGTTTAACTAGGAGCTGGGGCGCGTGAGAGAGATGTTGACTCGACGCGTGGTTTTTAACTTGTAACTCGACAGGGTAAAAGACGCCGAGTTTGAAATTCAAACAGTCGCCGGTTTTGAGCTAAGCGAGGAAGATTCTCTAACGAGGCAGGCTGGGGCAGGCGCGTATTGGCGTCAGTCACCGTCGTCGTTTAAAAGGACAATTTTATTCAGACGACGACGTTGGGCCCCACCTTTCTATAAAAATCGTGTACTATCGTTGTCGTTTTTGTTTGGGCTGGGATTTATTTTAATTTCTGTTTTTTTCTTTTTGTGGATTATAAAAATGGGTTGGAGACTGTGTCTAAGCGTACGTTAATTTAAGTATAATTTTTAAGTTAAATTTGAGTTGTTTAGTTTACTTTGTAGATTTAAATTTTTAATTTAAGTGGAGATGTGACATTTTATGAGAATTTTTTACTGTAGCAAAAAAAGTTATATGTGATATTTTTTTAAAGCTTTTTACTGTAGAAATTTAGAACTGAAAACTCGAATCGGTGAAATAAACGAGAGTAAAATTGTAACTTGAGTTTGTGTTTGGTTGTATACATTTGAATTATGGTTTGAGATAAGAATCTTTTTTTAATTTGTATTTGAGTGAGTCAAAACTTAAATTTGTATTTAGATAGTATTTTAATAAAAACTCAATGGTGATGAAAAATTTTAATAGGGTATATGGGTGGGGTTTTATTCGTCTTTTCATCGTGAACGCATAGAAAAAAATCATCTCAATCAGAATTAAAATGAAAAAGTTATAGCATTTTTAAGAATAGAAAAAATAATGTGCATTAATTTGAGTTCGAGTTTCTGAACTCAAGTTGAATGGGAAACTTGAACTCGAGTTTTAGTCCCAAACTCGAGTTCAAACTTAAAAGATCATGAACTTGAATAAAGTTGGAACTCGAGTTACATTTTTTTGAGTTTTTAACCCTGCCGAACAGCCCCTAAGTTGGGAAAACCAAACTCAAATAAAGACTTGAGTTCTTCTGAATTTTTTTAGTTAAGCTTCAGCTCTTGATTTATTTTTATTCAAATTCAGCCATGATTTAAAAAAATTTAATAAATAATATCTCTTTTTCTTCTCATAAATTTTAAAATATAGTAACTTTTTTATTTTAATTCTGATTGAGATAATTTTTTATGCGTTCACAATGAAGAGGTGAACAAAACCCCATTCATATATCCTACTAAAATTTTCTATCGTCATTGAATTTTTAGAAGAATATTATCTAAATACAAACTCAATTTTTACGTACGCAAACACAAATTCAAATAAATTATCAACACAAACATAACTCAATGTACACAGCCAAACACAAACTCAAGTTACAACTTCAACTTAAATTATAACTCAAACTCAACTCAAGATCTACACTCAAATCACTCAGAGGATATTCGGTACTTAGATTCGTTCCCTGATTCGAATCATAATTCGTGATTCGCTACAATATTTTCTCTCATAAAAAATACACGTAAATTAAAAATAATTCTAATCATATAATTCTAATACATGAACCAAACGTCTCTTCAAACTATTTAGAGTTTAAGTTGGGTAGTCGACTTTGGACTTGGGTCTACCAAGCCTCGCGAATTCCCTGTGACAATGTTAAATCTTTTATTTTCATCTCTTTTTTTTTTTTTAATGATTGTTCCTTGAATTGTCACTTTCACTGTCATGTAATGCAAAACATTGTGCATAAAACGACTGATATCTTTTTAATAGGAAAGTTTCATTTTATAATTAAACTGATATAAGTTATAATATAGTCGTAAATGATTATCAAATACAATGTATTGCACCACAAACAAATTGAACTTACCAATAAATAAGAAAGAGATCAATGAAAAACACATTAATAATTGAGCGCAGTAAAAACTTGTTACACAAAATTAAGAAAAGTAATCGATATTTCAATTTTGAATTCACATTAATTATCAAAGTTGATATAGAGAGAGGAAGGAAAAACACTATGATAAGGTAATTAATAAAATGGATAGTTAACTGTGTGAGGAAGAAAATGGAAACAAAGAGAAACGATATGATGATTTGTTCGATAATTTGGAGCTGTGCTGGTCAATTCAACTGTCTAATTGAGCAACTAAACACTTATAGATATTTTTAAAAAAGAAAAATCAGGAACCAAGTTCGAGCTTAATGCATGTGTAATCCACGTTTAGGCTCAAGGAGTAAATAAGTCAATATCTTGTAACTATTTTTTGAGGGGCAAAAGAAGAAAATAAAAACTTTGCTGGTTTTGCGTACAAGGAAAGAACGGCCCTTGAATTTAGGAACCTAGGGCTTATTAGAGCTGTTAAGAATTTAAGTAGAAAGGAGCTAATTCTATTGTCAACTAAACGAAGGAATTGGAATAAAATATAAATAAAGGGGGTATAATGTTTTTTAGGAAAATTTTATTTTTATAAAAAACCTAAAGCATTCTCGAATTTTTTTTTATCATGACATAGGATTATCTTTTTTAATATCTATTCTGATACCAATAGTAATTTGAGACGTGAATGTCGTAGTATGAAAAAACATAAAAGAGGGTAGCTTAACAACATGTGTGTGTGTGTAAAACTGTTTTTCTTTTGGGCGGCCATCGTTTTCACAAGAGCCCATTATAAAAATATAACATCTACGTAGAGCTGAGTTATCTTCTTATTGTCAAAACCATGTCTTCTTGTACCCCATTAACCAATAAATGCGTTTCTCATTTTCTCAACCGTAAAAGAGTATAGGTATCACCAATCAACCAAACATTTATAGCTCATTTGATATGACATTGCATTTACATTCAAACTGTCACCTAATAAAACATAAATATAGTAAATAATATGTGTTTCAATAAGCCTATAAAAAAAAAAAAGAGACTAAAAATGTCATTTTTTAAAAAAAAGATATTACACTAAAAAAAAAATACTATTCCATTCCTTTTTTTATACGCGTTTGGTAAAAAAATGTGATAGATAAAAAGTGATGAAATTGGTAAGTTTGGTGCCATACTCATGCGTCTCATCTATGCTCATCTTCAGTCCCAAAAAGAAGATGATGATGCGTGGTTTTCTGTTCAATTGCATGCGGGAAAAGAAAAGTATGCGAAATGTGTAGCTTCTTTATGCCAAGGGCTTTTTTGTTAACTTTGGTCGGCATAAGGCCCTTTAAAATGATGCTGCTTGCTTTCTGGCATATCCATTTGGTTAAAAAGTCAAGTATCATAATGCTTAAAATGAAAGAAAATGCCGTGACATATGAACATAAATCACAGAATTTGACAGATTTTTTTTTTAAAAAAAAAGTGAATAATTGAGGAAAGAGTCGAATTCAGAGGCACCGGCAATTATATGTTCAACAATTAATATTAAAACACATACACATGAATCATTGGCTATAAACTTTTTGGACTTGCTAGCTAATGGGTTTTGGGGCCTACTGGCATTCCTCCAAGTCATATATTGGATGGCCAAAATATTGAGGGAATCAGAATTTAGAGGAGTCCACTTTAAGAAAATTGGTATCCAACTATATAATAAGGAAATTTAAGGTCAATTACACATAAAAATAAATAACGTGACTAAATAACTGGACTTAAGAAGTGGTACTTAGTTTAACTTGGACCAAACTATTTGGGACCGAATGGATTAAAGAAATGTCTTTTTTATGTGTTCTTTCAGTAGAGTCGTAAGTTTAGACCAGCTTAAACGAGTCAATTCGAAACCTATTATATTAGTTTCTAAGCAAATCTTTCCATCATTCTGATATTGGGTTAGACAATTCGAACTTATGAATCTATACTTGTGATCAAATGTATAAAACAATAATGATAATGACAATAAATTTAATGGTGACCGTCAAGTATTAGGCCATACATCTGTGGAACTCTAAATGAACTCACTTGATTAAATCATGTTTCAAACCTCGTTCATTTCACTCATATGAGTTTTCAGTTTTAAGTTTTTACAGTTAAAATATCGAATCTAACTCTTTATGCTACAGTTAAAATTTTAAAAAAAATTACACATTTCAACTCGAATTTACGAAGCGAACCAGGCCTCAGTTATCACTTCTATGGAATGGAGCGAGCAACAATGGCAGTCTCATCAAGTGCTATTAGCAATAGCAACAAATGGCAATGCTATTGAATGCCATATCTGTATTTGCATTGAGGATAACATCACTTCGGAGTCTCTCATCATCTTGTGAAAGAAAAATAGAACAAAAAGCTTCTCTGAGTTTTTGTAATTCTTTGCTTTTTTTTTTCTTTTTAATCCAAGACTTAGGAAAAAGCTTCCAAATTTATGCCGTGGAGCACACCTCTAAAAAGAAGAGATATAATGAGTGTTTGAGTGTCATTTTCTGCCAAATGCAATCTAATGTTGTGTTTTTACCATCAATAAATAAATTTTAACTCTATCTCAAGCTATTGCTGGCAATTATATTAAATTATTAAAACCATCCTTAAAAGCAAAACTCAAAGTAGAGTAGTGATGCTCTCTTAACCACGGGTGCAAAGACAAATCAAAGTCAAAGCATGAGGAATCGGGAGAGAAAAAGCGAAAAAAAAATATTTGTCTTTTGATTATTATTATTTTTTTAATCTATGTTCTTAGGTCGGAACTTAAGGATATGAATGTAATAGGATTATTGATTTGTGTTGCACAAATAAGCTGGTTAAAGGTAAAACATAAAAAATTTGCGGCATAAATTAGAAAAAATGTGCCTGATTTTTCTATATAGATGATGCCACCTAAGTAATAGTAAGTACATTTTGACTTGGGACTACATGTGGCCCAA